ACCTTTACTCTTTTCTTTACAATAAGGCTTTCTAATGAATCATGGTTGTACGGCAGTGAAGCATCGGTGTTCAACACTGATGTCATGCTGTCGATGAGGACGATGATGATGATGAGCCTGTCCATCCAACACAGTTACTTCACTTATTGTCCTAGTCGCTGACAATCTCTGCATCTCAGTTCATCAGGGACGCAGTTTGGTTGACTGTTCAAGACATAATCACAGTGATGATCGTCTTTTGCAGGTGTGCCCTGACCACTAATTTTCTCTCGCTAATACTGGATTCAGACGGTGTTGCATCACCCCCTATCAATGAACAGCCATGGAGTCAGTTGGCTCTCCTTGGAAGTGCTCACTTATGACTATCGATCTTTCTGGACTACTCACGCCGATTCAGACCATGCTGTCGCCCGGCGCACTTTTTATACAGCCTTTGCCAGGAAACCAACGAAACAGACTCTTCGTTTGGCCATCGAAAATCTCTCTGGCATACAAATTCAATAACATTATAATATGCGTAGCCTTAAGATCAATATTCTCATGAAGTAGCAGTCATAACTGGAATGAGTTAAACACCGCCATTCCCCCGCAGGTGTTTTGGCCTGTGATGGTCCTCTTGAGGCCCACCAAGCAAGAAGTGTATTACAGAGCAGCTTTTGTCATCCCTTGATGTGATGCGTCGTGTCCCCTCTAACACTGAGTATAAGCCAGCAAGAAGGTCTGTTAAATGCCAGCTTAGACAGTCTGCGTGCTACAGTACTGAGTTTGGAGGACTGTAACATAACCGGAAAACCAACCCAATGAGGTTATCAAGGATACTGTTGGGAATTTGACATAACTGGAACCAATGTCCTGACCTCTGGACGAAGTACTTTGAACATTAATTTATTGTGCCCTCTGCTGCTGTGCCCAAACCAGGAATTTGGCCAACTCAGCTTGAGGCTCGGTCTGCGAGTTCCAACAATCTGGAATCAGCCAACAACTGGGCGAGATGGCCCAAGTGGTTAGAGCGCGAATTTACTGACCGGAAGGTCCGTGGTTTGAATCCGACCTCCGCCACTCGACTTCCCCTGTCTAAACTTGGGCAACCTGGCAGTATCCCAGCCCTCGTGCTCCCTTCGGGTGGCATGGAACCTAGACACTGGAAGGGTGCTGCAGCTGAACGCTTCCTTTCTTTCTGTGCTCTTATTCGAAAAAGGCACCCTCCCTTCGGGGGCATGGAACCTAGACACTGGAAGGGTGCTGCAGCTAAACGCTTCCTTTCTTTCTGTGCTCTTATTCGAAAAAGGCACCCGGAGTGACTGCTCGAATCATAGTCTTACTCTAGTTCTACGACGGCTGTTAGCTTCAATAGCACTGCGATGTCTGGCCTAATTACGCGAGAGGCAAATCTGAGAGCACCGGACTGGACTTTGACCAGGATGGAAACCATATCTACGGCACTGCACATATCGTCGAGCAAATATGGCGGTTTTCCTTGATTTCAATGTTTTTTCGCCTCCGTAGATAGGTTGGTTTTTCTGCATCTGCTTTCCCAACCAGGAACGCCATCGAAATTTATAGATGTTCTTTGTGTTACTTATACCTCAAATTCTGGGCACATTACGGTTCCAAAAATTCTCACAACTAATTGAATTTTTCCGGAATATCCCCTCTCCTCATTTTCATTCACTTCTATCAGCAATATCATCATCCGAACGCATCTAGAGGAAGGTTGTTAGACTTCGACTGTGTGGGTAATGTTGTTCTGTTATTTAAGAGTCTTGCATCCACACAAACTGCCCTTAATAAAAAAATTGAAGTGGAAACCTCGCCTCAGCATTTCCGGTCCTCGAAGGCCGCCTTTGAGCTTCAGGTTTAGGAGCATGAGTTTTTTTTGGGTTTACTTATCGTGACAACCACGAAGGTTGTGGCTGTACTATGGCAAATGAAGTCAATGCACGCACCAAATTACGAGGTATAGTTAGCAATTTGCACAGCTTTTGGCGTCAGGAGCACAAAAAAAACAAGTTTAAGGGTCGTGGCTACAAAACCATTTTGATAGCAATCTAGCTGTGTGGTTATGAAAATTAGCCTCTCTGGTGTGGAGATATCACCATCTGCAAGTAGTTGATCGGTAATTTGTTTACAGTGTTGTGGATGTTAACTGGTTCTATCAATTTGCAATGAAGTGATTACTACTTAATGAGTTGGATTCGTTTGAATGGCAGATAAAGCTTATCAGGTCAAGGCGATTGGGAGATGTATTACATATGTCCGACCATCGTCTACCCTAGAATGCTGTGTTTTCTTCTCCAAAGCTGCGTTTCCGAAGGTGTCAACAGGGGGGCCATGATGTGGTAGCGCGAAACATAAGTGAGTTTTATCGGTTTTAGGGCTTTGGGAGCTTCGCACCCCTCTAAACTGGGTTCACATGGTTCCCTGGTGTGTCTATAAAACCTACAGTCTCCAGCTCGTTCTGACTTTTAGTTGAACCCCCTAGGTATCTCTTTTTAACGTCTTGGGCCTTTCCTGGTTGAATTTCACAAAGGATATTAGGTCAGTCTTGCTGGTGGCGTCTTACTCTGACATCATGCTAAGTTGTGCCTGCTTTAAGGTCTCCGGAAGGTTCATGTCCTTCGTCTTCGACCGTTCTTCTCAGAGATGTATTGATTTCTGTATTAACTCGGCATTGCTTATTTCTTTTAACTTTCACTGAAGCTCTCTTCCTCTGTGATTGTGTGGCATTTAGGGGCCAGTGTCCGGTTTTGGCACCCCAAGATAAAGGTCTTTACTTTTCTAGGGTCGTCGATTGGAGACTACGAGCCTTTATTTAGCCTTTGTACAGATAGGTACGATCCGTTGTGGGAGCGGGATGGCTCAGTGGTTCGAGTGCGAATTTGCTGACCGGAAGGTCCGTGGTTCGAACCCGACCTCTGCCCCTCGACTTCTCCTGTCTAGGCTTGGGGAACCTGGCAGTATCCCAGCTGTTGTGAGTTTATCAGGGCACCCAGAATCGGCTAGAAGACAGGCTGATATTCTTTAGACAACACATAATAAATGGCTTTCATGGTCTGATGGGAAACATTCTGTCTCGGCCAATTGTTGCACTACTTTATAGTTAGCTATTCCTGGATCGCTTCGAGCTACTGGAAGGTTTGCCGTTATTCCATTTCCTCACAGTTAGCCTCTATTGTCTTTCCGGGCTCTTGTTGTCTCTCGGCCTATTCGCCCGTCATGCTGAACCATTGGCCTGATAGTTGTTGTTCTGAGGTTTTGTTGCACTGCTCTCTTCTTCAGAGAGTGACCACACACAGTGCTTGCCGTTGATGTGTGTTTGATTCAGTAGGTGACCTCATAACGGTGACATCTTGAACCATTTACACCCACAACTGCTTATCGGGACGTCACCAGTTCGTCAGAGCAGCATAGATGGCGTTCGGGTTTAGAGGCGAGTGGGTCTTTAGTTGGATTTATAGACTGAGGGGGGGCATGTACACTGAAGAAAACCAGCTGAAAGCGGTAATCAAGAGCGTTTCGTTTCTTTATATTTTCGCAAATTTCGTCGATGAGGCATACATGGTATCCGGCATGTATATTTGCACGTCGATCAACGGTTTTGTCTGCCTACATAGTCAGAACACATATTTCAGAATCGTTCATCACGTGTCATCAGTGGTAATCTACAGACTGAGTGATTCGTCAAATGAGAACTGATGTCCATTCTGCTGGAGTCTCTCCTTGGGATCCGCTCTTGGTAAGTGAGAAGCACCGAGACAAGACTCAGGAGTTAATTTCACCACAGGTTATGCATCTGAGATCAAATCTCATTCTCCGCCTCAAAACTTTCAGCACCCAGACCTGACTGCTTCAGATATACAGTGCACCCATTCATCTAGTGACCCTTCTTGTAACGGCTATCCGCAAGGTACTCCCCCACAGAGTGCATTACCATCAGGATGACCTTTAAAGTTGGACTTTCCTTTTATTTGGTCTGTGACCGGTCATTCTATTTGCCAGTGCGAATTTTTCTTGTCTGAGTACCAAAGTCACCCCGTGCTTTAGGATTCACTTTGCGCCCACAGAGTGTAAAGTCCTGAACATCCAGTCACTAAACACGCCGCTTACAATCCAGGGGGAAGCGCTCGAAGTTGTGGAGCGTTTTACGTACTTTGGAAATTATATTACTTCCAACTGTGGTGTGACGGATGAGGTCAATGCATGAATCTGCAAGACTCGGGTCGCGATTGCTAATTTGGGACACCTATGGCGTCACAGTGGTGTATCCCCGAATCTCAAGAGACGTGTGTATCAAGCTACAGTACGGGCTGTTTTGTTGTATGACTGTGAGGCTTGGCCTATTCGAGCAGCGAAACTGAGACGTCTTCAGGTGTTCGACAATCGTTGTCTCAGAACCATAGCTCGTGTGGGTTAGTGTCGGTGTATCCGTGATGAGGCAGTTAGAAAGCGCGTTTTCGGTTGTGTAACTGGTACTTCCATTGAAGAATGTGTCCAGCACCAGAAGCTGCGTTGGTTGGGACATGTGTTGCGTATGCCGAACCATCGTTTGCCGAAGAGAGTGCTGGTTTCCATGCCCAATTCGGAGTGGCGTAAACAGAGAGGTGGCCAACCCTTGACTTGGTAGAGGAGTATGAAGGAGATCACGAAACGCTTGGGTGCTGTCGATGCTACTCGCCTTCCAGGATGGGGACCGCGTGATCTTCACTGCACCTGTTAGGAGATGCTGCAAGATATGGCTACCAACCGGCGATCTTGTTGTCAGTTTCTATCCAGACTACCTGAATGAGTGTTTGGAGATGTGTAGGCACCTTGGAACGATTGTAGTGAGCCAGTCCGTTCCCCTTTCACCTTTATTCTTTCTTGACGATAAGGCTCTCAATTAATTCATGGTTGTACGGCTCGGTGTTGAACACTGCTGTCATGCTATCGATGATGATGATGATGATGACGATCTGAGACATCTTCAGGTCCCCGCCACCGATGTCTCAGCACTCTAGCTAAACTCAGTTGGAACCAGTGATTTCACAATGAGTTGGTCAGGAAACGGACTTCTGGTGAAAGGGAGTTTAATTCACTCAACAGATGCATCCACGTTATGATGATGAGTACTTAAAGCCAGCTAGCGTTTCGAGCGCAGTCAGCGGCCTACTTTTATCCGACAAAACATAACACTGCGGAACCTGCATGTACAGAAAAATGGACAGACGTCCACAAGAATGGCAGTGCGTTCGTTTGTTCCATACTCTACCAGTCTCTAGCACGATCTTGAACCATGCACTTGAATGTGGTGGGATTGGACGTAGTGAGACTGAGACAGAGTAAGTCTCAACAGGCTAGATTGGATTATTTCTTGTTTTTTTCGGATCCCCTTCATTGTGTTCTGGTGAAAGGAAGAAGGCCTTCGCTGCGTAGTTATTTATCGGAGAATGCCAACTGAACAGGCAACTGGACAGGCAAGCAAAACTCTCATATGCATTTTGCTTACAAAAACTGAATACCAATCTTCTCTTTGAACGCGTCTTTCTGAACTTTCCTGGGTATTGAATGTTGCTCAAATCCAAGCAAATGCTACAAAGCGACTCCACGAATTCCCTAATAGATCTTACTTTTCAAGAGACACAAGGTGGACTTAGGGGAAAACATACTACTCGCATGCCTCCCCATCAGTAGTATCACCGTTACACTGGTATGCACTTTCTGAAATGATGCCCACGTGGATGTAGCGGGCTTACGGATATACTGCTCCATACTGGCGCGGTAAATTTTTGTTGCTTGACAGCTGTCATCATGAATGAGGAGTTTCGGTCAATCGGCAAATCAGTGAAACACAATGTCATTATATTTTATTGAATATGGATTTTGTTTGCCAAGTTTCAAACCAATCCACATGCGATTACTGCTCCATAACCTTCCTCCTGTTTCTTTGTGCCCGTTTTCAAATTGTAGGAGGTTTCAACTCAGGCGTCACAGTTTGAGACACCTTCTAACCGCACCATTCAAGTATTTGAACCATGGAATGCACGTAACTTCCCTTTGCGGAATGCAATCTCGGTTGAAGGAGCACAGTCCACAGTGTCTGCGACTCGTCTTCGCAGTGGAAAAAGTCTGATCAACGGTCGTGATCTTCGAGGACCAGATGATATATTTGAAGTCTCTGAAAAGCCAGCAGACGTCTCTTCATCAGAAGAACTTGAAGGTATCTTGGAGACCTTGAACGGTGGCACATCCTCCTCCTGCTCAGAAAACCCCACCGCCGATACTCCGGTGGTGTTGGCCTACAATGCACGAGTTCGCCAGTCCATCACCGCCCGTGAGTTACCCAGAAAGGTGGGCCCTCGACTTGTGCGTTCTGCCTCCTACTATGGGGAGAATTCTCCCTTTAAGCTACACAATTCAGACGAGTTCAACAGCAATGGTACTTCTGAAGCGAGCTTGATTGGCGAATTTGTTCCGATTCTGCCCACATCTGCGTCCACTGAAGTTCGATTAGCTGAAATATCTCCGAACAAGGACAATACCGATCACCTAGTCCTGTTTGGTCACCCCGATGAATCCGCGGATTCCGGGGAACGGAAGACACCCCAGCCTGAAATGAATGAATTCCACCAGGGAGAAGCAAATCCTTTGGAGGATGGCTTCCCGTTCAAACCGCGGGTCAGTGAAATGTCAGCCGTGCTGGAACAAGGAGCACATGGTTCAGGCTTAGCTTGCAAAAAGCTTCTGATAAAAGTTGTAAAGGCGGAAGGGCTCTCGCTGAAAGGTGAGCTGTTTTTTTATTATTTCGTTCTGTTCGGATGTTGGGAAGGGAACCATTTGACCTGTTCTCTCGAAGGACCTGGGGAGATTTCACTTGGTGGCTTCCTAGGCTGTCTGGTTGAAATTTCCTTCCAGCGAATTTACTGACCGAAATTTCCGTGGTTCGAACCCCGCCTCTGCCTCCCGACTTCCCCTGTCTAGGCTTGGGCAACCTGGCAGTATCGCAGCCCTCGT